ATACTGCCGATACTTCATATTTTCCCAAAATATGAATGCTTTAATGAAAATGTAGTTTTGTCAATGCTTTCATTTGGACTCATTACGACAATTTTTAAGCTTGCTTACCACTTTCTATAAGCGGAATTCTATATTAATTCATCGATAGCTATCAGAATTGTTACAGTTCAATTAGTAACTAAATTCTTTTTAATTTAAACGAGCATTTATTCTATATTCTCTAATAGATACACTAAGACTATCGAAGATAGTACTGTAGCAAGCGCATTGAACTTACACACAGGATAGAATAATAAGAGTACTGTCTGTGCTTACTACCTTACAGCGAGAAGAAGCAATTTCTATCATGTTTAGAGTTCATTTCTGTAGTTTTGGAATGTTGACAAATTTTTTTCTTCCGTTTAATTTCGTTTTGTTCTAACTGCTAAATTACTTTATAACTAGTAAAGAGCATAAGCAGCTATAAAAGTAGCGCACCTATATTAACTTGCGATCATTTCATAGATAAATTGATTGTGTTCAATCGTCACTAATATTTGTGATCAGTAACTAGAGGAAGTCACTTGAAATTCTATACCTTCTACTAAACTCTTAGATTGGCTAAGAAACTACATGCATCTACTGCTTTACTTTTGGAGCGCCGATCTTTAGATTATTTCTTTAATAACTTTGTCTAATTCTGAAATCTATAACAAGGTATATAATCGTACTTTAAAAGGTAAATAGCCGTACTTTAAGGATTGTCAATTAAACTTATGGAGACACAATTGCCTTTAAAATAAGCCATTGATTAATCCTACATTGATATTGAATATGCAGTTACATCATCATATTGACATAGATATTAACGGTCAACTTCACGTTCTATTTCAGACGAATTTCCTAGTTTTAATTCAACCTATACTGATCGAGCATGGAAATAGATCCTGATATTTATGCTGCATTAGACAAAAATAGTGAACAATTTATTACAATTGTTCCAATCCTAGAATTACTTGAAGATCTGATAAAGAAGCAAATCTTAAGTCCTTGGCAAGTGAAGGATATTGAATTATTGATTCACACAGAAGATATGAACGGAAATCTATTGGAAATTTTGATGGAGGCACGCGGAGATAAAGATTTCGATCTATTCTGCGGCTTACTAAAAATCAATCGCAATAACAAGGTTAAAGATTTTGGAACTAAACTTGAACACGATGCTAAGCGTGGATCATCATAGTTGATAGTTTATTAGTGATCTAATTCATGCAGGCATATTTATGGCCATTTCTCCTGCAAAATTAAAGTTCTTATGTGTAAGGTGATATCTTTGAAGCAGGTTATTAGGCTAAATCATAGGTCACTAGTATAATTTATTATCATATCGAGTCGCCAATCAATAATGTACTTCATTCTATAACACAAATCCCATGAAACACTTCAAATATTAATGAAGTTAGAATTTAAATGGACAGAATAAAGGCTACTTCTTAGATTGGAAATCAAAGTAATAACATCCAGTATCGGAAATGATAATTAAGGATCAATGTTAACAGCAATCCATGTATTAATGAGCTATGCCTTATTAGAAATTATACGTCACTGCCTAGATACTGATCACGAACTCAGATCATATGAAAATTCATAGCATATCAATGAAAATTTGTTTTACTTTAGTAGATCACGCAGTTCTGATAGCCATAAAATAAAGCTGAGTAGACCATTTCACCTTAAATTTCGATCAAAGTCGAATACATTTCAACAAAGTAATACCTATATACGACCCGATGAAAATCACATTTCATGATTGGTCATTACGGTATCTCTCTATTTACTTTTCCAATACGATAAAACTGGAATGCATCAAGCTATTTAACGCTGAGAATACTTCAATTTTTCTCATCAATTGAGGTACTGCTATATGGCAAATTGCAGGATATATATAGTAAGATAATGTAGCTGTGAATTTTCTTTTCATGTATTGCTTTTATGTAGAATAAATACTCGTTGATTTGAACAGAAAATTTACTGGTTATTTACGATTGACAAAGCTTTTTCTTCCACAGTTATGCTCCACTATACGGTTCTGGTGTTCTGTGTAGTTATCAAAGAAATAGACATCCTACAAGTAGATATTGAATAGACAAAGCATGACATAATAAATCTGTCAATTTCTTAATCCTTAAAATTTCTCTATCGACTCTGATGAATCACTAACAGCATTAATTTAGAAAAGAATACACGATTCTCTGTATCCCGTATGAAATCCTTTGATCAATTTGATTTTGTAAAATTTGAATCAAAGTATTAACGGAGGCATAAAGGAATATGAGAAAACTTACGTAGAGCATACCGATCGCGATAATACATGCTTTCAGTCCTGGAGGTGAATCGATTAGAACTAGAATGTTGGAAAATTACGTGTGATTTTAAAACAGTTCAGTTCGATCTAATTTATCTGGCCATTATCAGTTTATAAATCATAGATTTAACTTAATGACTCTATCTTTAAGAAACTAGTAGTGTAATCCAAGCTTAGCTCATAATTATAGCACTTTTATCTCAGTTTTCGCTAGCGCTAACTTTGCTTTAATCGAAAGTTACAGCATTAAGAATAGAATTTTAATATGCTTTGGTCTATGGCTCAGAATCTAGTATATTACAGAAAGGAATCACTGGTTAAAACAAAATTTTAAAGTGAAGATTGCAGTAGAAAAATAAATTAAATTCACTAATGTAACAGTAATTTTAAGGTTGCTGATCAATAATACGTATCCAGCCTCTTACAGTCAATTTCAAGGCTGTGCTCATGAGATAGGGCTTGATGGCCTAACCACTTCTTCTTCATAGTACCAATTAAGCAATTCTCTATGTAATCATATATCTTTTAATAAAAGAAACGAAGTTAGTAAGATTCGTACAATAACTTACAAGAAAAATCTGACTTTAGAATGACAATGAATACGTGGCAAATTGGGACCCAGATGAGTTAGATACGAAATAGATTAAAATGGATTGAGGTTCTAATCCATCTGCTATGGTTTAAAATAGTAAAGGTGGTAATGCAATTGATTTAGAAATGGGCAGCTGTAAATATTATGGTAAAATTGTAATATTCAACCGATAATGGATTTCCATTAACGATTGTATAAATATAGGTTAAGTGCTATGCAAAATACATGTAATAATCAAAATGGCGGTTGTCACACTTTTATGCTATTTGTTAGGCACTAAGCGAATTTAAGTTGGCTCATAGTATATTAATTAACGTACGTACATGTATATACTCTGGAATAATTAATATAATTACATGTGTATAGAAAAAGACTATATTACGGTATAGGAAATAATGAACCGATTGTACAAGTTGAGTTTGGCACAAATATATAAGGAAGCGCATTTGTACTTAAATAGAGAGGAGTAATTTAAGCTACAGAGTGCAACGACAGTTGAATAAATATAACTTTGTTATATTAGCTAGCAAACTTCTAGACTGATTCTTACTGTTGACTACGGTCCTTCACGAAGGTAGTGAAAATAGTGACGCTTGAGGGCAGATTTACAATATGGTAGAAGGTTTCACAGGTTATCATAGTAGAAGAACTCATGGTAACAAACGAAATTTGTGACACCATCTTATATTACTTGTTACTTATTATATTAGCTGTAAAAGTGACTATTATTATTTATCGTTCTTTTTCTTACATCAAAATTGAATTCTGTAGGTGGAGATTCCAAGAACTGCTTCCTTTTGATTTTGTTTATAACCTTTACGTAGCATTTACCGTTTATGTCATTTATGTAGTAATGACCTTTAAAACTAGTTCTAAGATTTTAGGTAAAGCGGAACAAAATTCCAAGATAAACATCGACGTAAAGCAGGAGAGTTGATGACAACAAGCCTTGTATGACGTTTTTTATCTACTAACTTTCATACTTATATTCTAATTTCTGATAGCATAATTTATAGACTAAGCAGAAGTAGAATTACGAATATAAAATAAGATTATGATTTTACTACTTACGGCCAAAGGTAATAGAGTAGAGTGCCCGGTGGTGATTCAAAAGTGAGTCGAATCTTTACAGAACTTGATGCACTACATGAACAAAGCGAGTATACTGGTAGAGATCCACGATAGACTTTAAATACTTCTAGCCCGCTTCGGTCATAAGCCTTTAAAATAATTGGCCTGTAAATATCTAACGTTTGCCGAGGTTCGCCTTCTAAAAAGTTGTTGCAAAATTCAGAAAAATGGCAGATAATGGAATGCAATTTCAAACGAGAGTTACGTACTTAAAAGATTGAATTTCAAAAAGTCAGAATCCCAATTAGGATTAAGCAAGTTACTAGCGCGAGATGAAATAACGTTATATAAAGTAGTATATATCTTTGATTATGATCCAAAGTGATCTTTTACTTCACTAATTTATCTCTCAGATACATACATAGTTAAAAGTAAGCCATATGCTTACCTTCTACACCTAGAAAAACTTGCTGATCATATTTATTCTTTATAATAAATCGATCGGGCGTTATCGTGTAAGATTTCACTGTTAACAACATTACATAAAAAATTGTTTAATTCATAGCTATTTATTGCTATCGCTAAAGTTCTAATTTACATAATTTTGTTGCAATATCTTTCTATAGCTACTGTGAATTTTCAATTCTTTATCAGATTATCACTGTTGAGATATTTTTGTATTGACGTATGAAAAAATTACTTTCCAAAGGATCGGGTTGTTGTTTTATTAGGACTTTATCAAGATTTATTAAATATTCTAGTCCAGATGGACAATCCTGTGTCTGTTGAGCTGGGGGTGTCCATGCAACAGTATTTTCAGGCTCCGATCCTTTAGCATTGATAATGGTAGATTAGTATATGATAAAAAACTGAAGTAATGGATAGATTGTAAGCTATGCGTTTTCTAATACCTGGTTGATGAGTTACAGGAGGAATTACTTGGTATGATGATAGTGATATCGAACTAAAAATACTACTTTGTTGCTGTTGGAGAGCTTCTGAACTTGATGGGGATTGCTTGCTTCCAACCAGTAATAAATTATTTCCACAAGGTTGTGACTGATTTGGTAAAGTAGCTTCTGCCATAAATAACTTTAGCTGGCTAAGGTAATAATCCACTTAGTGCTCTGTTTTGGTGTCACTCGCAAAAATGATTATTACCTATGTATGATTTAGTGAGTATTAAATAGCAATCTTTGACAATCAATATGTACAAACTTGATACCTTACGCGATAGCAAATATATAATATGTTAAGATCTATATTGCCCTAAGTTATAAACGGCGAGAGATGTATTCTCGACTGCATAACGGTTTATTAAAAAAAATTTTTGATATTGAATTATGAAGGGATTCTTACATAGTCTAAGAATCTAGCTCTGAATTTTGTCCAGTATAATGTGTTGTGTAGTATACGTTCCCGTTTATTTGAACGGGAACTCGACTAGAAGTCATAATTGCTACGGTAACATGATTCAGAAGTGTAGATCCTTGTCAAGGCATGATATGTGGCAGCATGTAAGTAATAGTCATAGATACTGTTGTAAGATGATTCATATGTGTGGATCCTTGACAAGACCTGGTATGCGGCTGCAGCTAGTTTCCTACAAGCTCGCCAATTATTGTAAAATCTATTCACCATAGTTGTCTTGATTACCGTTACATTACTACAATAAAATTACTTTTCTTATCGGCTAATGGTAATTTAATGATGGAAATTAACGCGACGTATTCTTATGGCTTTATTGCATACTTTAGATCAGGAAAGGCCTTTAGGCTATAGAACGGTGTAAGCGACTAAAGAATCTTCAGTAGGTTAATGTTACTAGAGACAGAATTCGAGTCGAGTAGGTTAAAAAAGATGTAATGTATTGAAGCTATCTACCTTACCAATAACCTTAATCGATGATATAGCAGCAATATTTGAGAATTGTCGTTGCTTGTACAACTTCCATCATTTAAGCAAAATTTAAATCGAATATTAAATTCTATTGTGTGTTATACGCATATGTAGAATGCAATCTATATCAAGGACAAATAAAGCTAAATCTTTATATTTAATTTAAAAGACATCAATGCCTCTTTCTACTAATTAAGACTATTTTCCATTATGCAAAATGAATTTTATGTTGATACAGGTGGAGAATTTATTAAAAGAAAATTAATTATTCCTTGATGAAAGCTGAGTGACCATTAGTTAGAATTATGCTCTGGCTAATTGTTATCCTATAGGGAGACAAGAATAATCGAAATTTTTTATTACTTATACTCTGCAGCAGAAAAATGATCATAACGAGTATTTTTCAATGCAGGGCTGATCGAAATTGATTGAAATTGGTTAAATTCACACGCTATCAGAAATGATGCTAAAAAAGTACCCGAACCCCAGGAGCTATTCATGTTGGTTACCAGTAGGAATGAACAGTTGTGAATACTACTAGCTAATTCATAATATAGCAGAATTATGATGTATATGTAACGCAGTATACTGTATATCTAAAAAGTAGTTTAAATTTGGTTTGAGTTAGCCTAACATCCTGTAGAAATGATCATCTAAGGGTTCTTTACAATATTTAGTCCACTACAACACGTTTATTTTGTTTGTAATCTCGCTTTTACATGATTTATGACTCGGTAAATGCCTAGCTATGTCGATCTATAAGCAGTATTTACTGATTGTTTTTGGTACTTCGACTATGATTCCAATCATATACTTCAGTAAAGTTCGTTTTTAATTACTATTTATTAACCAACCTCCAACAGCAGCTATCCCCTACTACCATGTAGTGATGATGAACAAAGAACATCTAAGTCTTATATATTAAGACACAAAATGAGACTAAATATTACTATTTCTATGTTATAGAATACTTGTGTTAATTAATTATTAAAACTAACCCTTTATATCGCCATCATGTTTGACTTAGTCTATTTTGATTTTTCAACTGTAAACAGTGTTATTTATTGTAACAGTTAACTATATTCTTATTGCTATTATAATTTACTAAGTTCTTAGTTATGGCGTATAAACGTTTATTTCACCTAGTAAATCGGAAATAAATACTGAATATTGTGTAATGTAGAAAATAGAAAGCAATTTAGTTTAGAGCGTAGGTGCAAATAAATGGGAATTTCACATTTACTTTAATGGCTATGCCATGCTACATACAGTATACCGCGCAAATATTAAAAAAACTATCGTATCAAGATTGTTATCTATAAACTTAGATACAGCATGCCCAATGCAATGATGCAAGCTTTCAGTTCTGGGGCTAAGTCGATTGCAATTATGTTAGTAAGATTCGCGAAATAAATTGCAATTAAATCTGACTTAAAATGACAATTAATACATAACAAATTGAGACCCAGATGAATTAGATACGAAATAGATTAAAATGGATTGAGGTTGTAATCCGACTTACACAGCTGATGTTTATATCAGCTGTTAAAGTAGCTATTCGTCGTCTTTCTCTTATATCAAAATTAAGTTCTGTAGGTGGAGGTTCTAAGAACTGCTTCCTTTTGATTTTACTTATAACCTTTACGTAATATTTTCCGTTTATGTCAGTCATATAGTAATGACCTTTAAAACCTGTTCTTAGATTTCAGGCTAAGTGGAACAAAATTTTAAGATAAACATAGACGTAAACTAGGAGAGTTGATGACAATAAGCCTTGTATGCCTTTTTTTATTTACTAACTTTCACTTTTATATTCTGATTTCTAACAGCATAATTTATAGACTAAGCAGAAGAAAAATGGCAAATATTAAAGTAAATTGTAATTTTATTACCTATGGCCATAGATAATAGAGTAGAGTGCCCGATGCTGATTCGAAAGTAAGCCGAATCTTTACAGAACTTGATTCGCTATATAAACAAAGCGTGTATACTGGTAGAGATCCATGATAGACTTTAAATGCTTCTCGTTCGATTCGGCCATAAGCCGTCAAATTAATTAGCCTGTAAATATCTAATGTTTTCCGAGGTTCGCCCTCTAAAAATTGTTGTGAAATTCAGAAAAATAGTAGATAATAGAATGCATTTCTAAACGATAATCAATTACTTAAAATATAAAATTTCAGACGGTCAGAATCACGATCAGGATTAAGCAATTTACTAGAGCGAAATAACGTTATATAAGTATTATATATTTTTGATTATGATCCAAAATGATGTTTTAGTTCACTATCTTATCTATCAGTAATATACATAGTTAAAAAAAAGCTATTGCCTTACCTTCTACGCCTAGAAAAACTTGCTGATCATATTTATTCTTTATAATGAATCGATCGGGCGTTATCGTGTAAGATTTCACTGTTAAAAACATTCCGTAAAAATTGTTTAATTCATAGCTATTTATTGCTATCTCTAAAGTTTTAATGTACTACATTTTGCTACAACATTTTCTTATAGCTGTTACAAAATTTCAATTCTTTATCAGATTATCACTGTATAGATATTTCTGTATTAACATATAGAAAAATTACTTTATAAAAGATCGGGTTATTGTTTTATTAGGACTTTATCAAGATTTATTAAATATTCTAGTCCAGGTGGACTATCCTGTGTCTGTTGAGCTGGAGGCATCCATGAAACAGTATTTGTAGGCTCCGATCCTTTAGCATCAATAATGGTAGATCATTGTATGATAAAAAACTGAAGTAATGGCTGGATTGTAAGCTATGCGTTTTCTAATACCTGGTTGATGAGTTACGGGAATAATAACTGGGTATGATGATCGCGATATCGCACTTCATATACTGGTTACTGTAGGAGAGTTTCTGAACCCGACGGGGATTGCTTGCTTCCAACCAGTAATAAATTATTTCCACAAGGTTGTGGCTATTCTGTTAAAGAAGCTTCTGCCATCAATATCTTTAGCTGGCTAATGTAATAATTGGCTTATTACTCTGTTTCGGTGTTACTTAAAGAAATAATTATTACCTATGTATGAATTAGCGAGTATTAAATGGCAATCTTTGATAATTAATAAATGCAAACCTAACACTTTGCGCGATAGCAAATACATAATATGTTAAGATCTATATTGCCTTAAGTTATAAACGACAGAGATGTACTTTCTACTACATAAGGGTTTATTAAGCATACTGTTTTGAAAATTATATAAATAGGGCCTTAAATTACTTAAAATCTATTCATTCAAAGAAATACAAATCGGTTTTATTCCGATAAATATAATTTTATTAAATTGCGAACTGGCAATGTATCAACACAACAATTACCATTCTTTCTTCTAGCCATCTATTTAGTTACCTTACATTAACTCATTATGATACATTTCTTCAAAATAAATTTTAATTACATCAGTGTGTTTCTACGTGTACATTCTTGCATATTACGTTGCATTATCTTTACCATTACTGTAAAATGTATTTCAATATGGACCGTTAATGCATAAGTAATAGTCATAAATGCTGTTGTAAGATGATTCATAAGTGTGTATCCTTGGTAAGGCATGATATGTGACAGCAGCTAAGTAATAGTCATAAATGCTGTTGTAAGATGATTCATAAGTGTGGATCCTTGGCAAGACATGGTATGTGACAGCAGCTAGTTTTCTACAAACACAATGATTATTATAAAATCTATTCACTATAAGTATCTTAATTACCCTTACGTTACTACAATAAATACTTTTCTTTTTGGCTGATGTTAATTTAATCATGGAAATTAAAGTGACGATTTCTCATGGCTTTAGTGTTTTAAATCATCGAAGCCCTATAGGCTGTAGAACGGCGTAAACTACAGAAGAATCTTTAGTAGATTAGTGTTATTTGAGACAGAATTCGGGTCGAATAAGTTAAAAAAGATATAATATACAGTATAGCAACTAATCATCTTACTAATAACCTTAATCGGTGATATGGTAATATCTGAGACTTGTCGCTGCTTGTACAAGTTCCATCATTTAAGCAAAATCTAAATCGAATATTAAGTTCTATAAGGTGTTCTACGAACAGTATAAGTAGAGTGCAATCGATATCAAGAACAAGTCCAGTGAAATCTTCAAATTAAAATTAAAAGACATCTATGAATCTTCCTACTTATTATAACCCATTTTCCAA